AAAGAAAGGTGCCGGACTCTCTGTTCTTTATTCATGTATGAGCTTCTTGGGTGCCACGGTTGGCGATCAAGAAGGTGTAACGTCTCGGACGCTTCCCTTTAGATCCTTCAGTTAGAGACTCGCCTCTTTCCGTCAGATATCTAACGCTCGTTTGTCTAGGTGAGGCTTAGATGCTTCCCATGGAGGGACCTCTAGAACCTCCGTATCGCAATAACTAATCTCTATATCGTTGAGACCTAGATGTATCTCTGCGGAAGATCCCTAGAGTCTCGAGTTAGACGAAATCTAGATGTATCTCTGCGGAAGATCCCTAGAATCTCGATATCGCTACGTTGATCTCGGTCTCGTTGAGATCTAGATGAATCTTGTGGAAGACCTCTAGAATCTCGGTATCGCTCTCTTCTTATCTCCATCCGAATTCCTTATCTTAATCTGAATTTCCTTGATAGCAAAACTTGCTACTCCTTATAGTTCTAATGCTGATCTAATAGTTGTAGATTCACGACTAATTAATTGCTTATCTCAGATCTCCCAGGATTGGGATTGAAACATCACGTAACTTAGATGATGTCGAACAATAAAGGTTAATCTCTTAACGCTTTACTATTCCTCGCTCCTCGTCCGCTAATTAAATAGTGTTGGGAATTCTCATGCACAACACCAACCTAATACCAACCTAATACCAACCCATTCGGACAACGAATAAGTGGTTAGTAGTGGTTGGCTAACGGCACTACATAATCTTATCTAATACTAACCCAAAATCAAATCACACTTAAAAGCATCTTACAAGAAAGATTAAATCTACCACACCACACCACACCACATCATACCATACCAACTCAATACCACACCAACTCAATACACAATTTAAGATAAACTAACTTGAACAATACCTTTATATAATTCAATCAAGCCTGAACCCCTTCGAGTCCAAACCCCTCTTCCTAGAGTATCACCGGCCAATCTAGCACAGTCTTATTAAGTGCAGCAATCTAACCAACCAAACCCCACCCAATACCATATCTATTCTTTGACTACGCCAGTGGATAGTTTACCATCACAGAAGATTGCTTTAATCTCTTCGGGTAGAAACAACTCCTTCGCAGACTCAGATGCCGCAATAATCTCCTCTGGACTAGCTGCACTCCAGTCCAAACTACCCAATAAGACTGCTGAAATCGAAGTATTCCTTCGCAAGCGAATTTCAGTCTCTTCACTACCCAACCCAATTCTACACTCTACCGATTGCTCAACATTAATCATGTTTCCTTTCCCCAACCCAATTACTGTGTTTTTAGCCCGAGTTACCTCTAAGTTACTTACTAATGACTCAACTGCCACCAACGACTTTTTCGTATCGACTACCATCACCTTAATACACTTCCCACGCAAGACTACAACCGAATCCTCAATATCCGCTACATAAACCGACTGTCCATTCTCAATCTCCACTATCTTTCTTTCACCCCGCAAGCCATGTATCTCAACAATCCGCTGGTTCATAACTAAGAGCTCCCTTTTTTAAAAATATGAAGATAGTCCCCTTCCCCGTTCGTCAAACCAACTTAATGCATCTAGTGATTGGTCCCAACAACTCAATCATCTTAGTCGATCCAATTGAACCCCAAAAAATCAAAGATTATCTACAAAATCAAAACATGCCTTCCGATAAAGTCATTGTCCTTACCACCCACGGTCATGAAGATCATAATTCCGGCAATCTCTCATTAAACCATTACTTTCCAGAAGCCCAAATCTTCGCCGGTTCCGAACGTTCTTTTGCCCATTCCATTTGTCAGCCCGACCAAATCATTCCATTGGACCATCTTACTATTCAATGCATTCACATCCCCGGACACACTCTCGATAGTTTTGCCTTCTTCCTCCAGGACCACCAAACCCAGCAAAAGATCCTTTTCCCAGGAGACACTCTCTTCTATCTCGGTTGTGGCAAGATCTTTGAAGGCACACCCACTATGATGTACCACTCCCTAGCCAAGCTAACCAGTCTTCCCCCGGACACTCTTATCTTCTACGGCCACAACTATACCGAACCCAATCTACGTTTCCGCCAGCACATACTCAACCAAGACCCGCCCAGCAACCTCCCCCCAACCAATCTCACTATTGAACAAGAGAAGCAGTACAATCTTTTCCTCAATCCCAGCCTACTCAGCCACCACCCAGATTTTACTCACCTAACTCCCATCCAATCCCTAGCCCGTCTCCGCCACCTCAAAGACCATTTCACCGCCTAATTATCTCAACTTAACCCATCTTATCTCAACCCAACACAATACCAAACTTAACTCAATCCAATAAACAACTAGTTACTATCTAAATTATCTTATCTTATCTTAACTTAACCATTTACTAAACCAAATACTAAACTCAACCCAACTCAACACAATACCAATACTAAACCCAACTAGTTACTATCTAAATTATCTTAACCCACCTTAACCCAACTCAACTCAACTCAACTCAACCCAATCCAATCCAATACTAAACCCACCCGATGACTCTTTTTTTATGCCACCCGCAGAAGAACCATATCATTACCTCCAAAAGAAGATTGGAGCTATCGTTTCAGAACTAACTACTGAGTTAATTGAGAATACAGCTGAATTCAAACGTATTTCAAAAGAAGCCTACGATATTGAAGAACTTATTCTACTCAGTCGTAGTAAGTATATGAAAGTAAGTCAAGAAATTCAAGCCGAATCCAAAAGACAACAAGAAATCGAAGGTGTACTTGACTACTTTGAAGGCGAAATAGACAAAATCAGAACTATTCTTCAAGCCAATCCAATTGATGGTCCAGAAACACCTACATTTGCCTCTCTAGGAGATCTTGATAGTTTAGTTAGTGAGTTTAATTCTCTTGTAGCCACACTCGATCTTTCTATCCCCAATTCCATTAACATATTCCTCAACGAGAACATGAACCTCATCAGCTATGCCGACACTCTCATCCAAAAACTAGCCACCAAAAGAGCCCTAGCCAAGCAAAAGCTAGCTTAACCCAATAAATCACTATCTACTTGAGTTATTATCTACTTGAGTTATTATCTACTTGAGTTATTATCTACTTGAGTTAGTATCTACTTACTTACTTATCTACTCCTTTACTATCTACTTATTTTATTAACCAACCAATTTACTCAATTCAGCTAATTACTCAATACAGCTAATTACTCAACTTAATCCAACCCTAAACTTAACTCAATCCAAACTCAACCCTAAACTTAATCCAATCCAAACTCAACTAATTACTTCTTCCAATTTAGTCCCATCCAATAAATACTACTCTAGTCCAACTAACTCATCTAATTAATTCCACTCCACACCACCCGACCCAATCCATTTCACTCTACTCAATACTACCCTAATCCTAAACTTAACTCAATACCAACCTAATCCACAAACTAACTCAATCCCACCCAAACTCAACTCCACCCCACCCAACTCAATCCTAAACTTAACTTTACATTTAGATAAGATAACTTTACATTTAGATAAGATAACTTTAACACAAGATAAGATAACACAATACAACTTTAATACAACTTTAACATAACCCACTCCACACAACCACCCCACTCAACCCAATACTAACTTAACCCTACTCTATTTAATACATTAACTTATTTGTTTACTTACTAAAGTGACACTCAGATAGTGATCGCTAATTGTTAAATATTTTAAGCTTGTTTATATTTTAACCCCTGTATGGAAGATCAAAAGAAAACAGATGTAATTAAAAACATGAGAACTGTCCTTCCCCCACTCAATCTCAAAGACTCTGAAACCCCAGAACAACAATCTTTACCTTCTACCCAAATCCCACCCCCTGCCACTAACTCAATTCGACCTTTTAATGGCCCAAATCCTTCTGAAAGTCCAAATAATTCCAATTCCAGCACTTATAACTTCAGAACTGAACAAGTTCCACCTCAGTCCAGATATACTAGCCATGCACATACACCTTATAATCCCTATGCTAAACCTCCTCCTGGTTATCCTCCCGGTCGTAAACCTCCTCATGCCCAGACAAGGTACTTCCCACCCGCCCGCCAGTACGCTTATATGGGAGAAATACCTCCTCGTGGTCCTCCTTCACCCCGTCGACCCCCTCGACCTATGGCTCCTACCGCTCCTCCTGCTATTCTTATGCCCGATGTTGGTTCTTCAGCTAAAGTCCAGATAAAGGATGCTATGCGCTACTTAGATGTAGTTAAGGAAGAGTATCGCGATCAAAGAGAAGTCTATAACAAATTCTTAAAGACCATGAAAGATTACAAAGAACGTTTAATTGATGCTAAAAGTGTAGTTGAAGTTGTCTTATCTCTTTTTAATGGTAATCAAAAACTCATTCAGGGGTTCAATCTCTTTCTACCTAAAAAGTACGAGATTATGCCTTCTGGTGAAGTAAGAGTCCATGAAAGTTCGGAAAGAGAAGTAGGTAGTACGGGTCATAGTAGTAGTAGTAGATACGAGTTAGAGAGAGAAAGGGAGAGGGAGAGGGAAAGAGAGAGATTGGGTGGTAGTAGTGGTAATAATCCAAGTCGTGATTTAGAAGGGATGGGGATTGGGTTTAGACCGCAAGGATCAGCAGCTGAAGCAGATGATACGGCTCGAGTAATGACTTACCTGAACAAAGTAAGAAGACATTTAGAAAGTAATCCGGTGGCTTGGTTTGAGTTCTTAAAGATAGTTCAGTCTTATAAAAGTGCTCGTAATCAGTCTATTCCAGAGATTCTAGCTAGTGTTAAGGTCTTACTGAAAGATAATCCGGCTTTAATTGAAGAGTTTATGATCTTCTTACCGGGTTCTAATGTTCCTGATTCAGCCCGGACGATGGCCTTATCACGAACTAGTCCTGGGGATTCAGTGGCTATGCTTAGTGATATTAAGGCAATTTTAGTCCGGAAAGGTGTTTATAAGGAATTCTTAAAGGCTTTGAACATGTTTAATCAAGGTTTACTTAATACGTCATCTTTAATTTTGGTTATTGAACCTTTCTTACGTTCAGCACCTTCTTTATTGTCTTTGTTTAGGTACTATATTGGTCATCGGGAGTTAGAATCACCACCTTATGTTCAGTCTTCTTTAGAAGGGTATAAGAAGATGGGATCTTATCGGATTTTACCTGAGAAGTACCGGAAATCTGCGCATACGGGTCAGACTCCGGAAGATGCTTCTGTTTTGAATACGGACTTGATCTCATGTCCGACTTTTTCCAGTGAGAGTTCGACCTTTATCTTTGCTAAGAAGAACGTTCATGAAGAGGCTTTATTCCGGGTAGAAGATGAGAGGTACGAGGCTGACTTACTCCTGGAAAGAGTTTCGGGCCTGATTTTAAGACTGATGGAAGCAGAGAGAGTAGCTGCTGAGGTGGCTAATGATCCTAAGGAAGTAAGTGGATCTGGTCCTGTTTTGGACTTATCAGCAATTGATAAGGAAGTTTTATCTTTGGTTTATGGCTCAGCAGCTGATGATATTATCTTAGGTTTAATTGCTCATCCTTTAAGAGCTGTACCGGTGGTTTTACGGCAATTAAGAGGGGCGGAGACACAATGGGTACGGGTTCGAGCGGCTTTATCTGATATTTGGCGGGCTTCAGTCGATCGTAATTACATTAAGGCTTTGGACGTGAAAGGGTACCGCGCTCGAAGTGGGGAGAGGAAAGTCTCACTCAGTCGGCAGTTTGCTAAGGAGTTAGAAACTCAACGGGAACTTGAATTTATTCTGCCGGCTTTTACGGTAGTTCAGGAGGTTCTTGATATTTTAGCTGGAGTTTGTCAGGCCGATAGGTCTTTACTGGCTTTGCTTGGTTCTTTACTAGCTAAACCTGATGTCTTTATGGTAACGGCTAGTTTATATGCAGTTTTACGGGGGATAGCTACGATAGGTGTAAGAATAGTAGAATCAGTACATGGTCCACGCGTTAAGCCGGCGCCTAATCAAGTAGCTTTATCTTTGGGTTTACAAGAACCGGTGGCTGAATTGGATGTCCCTGGAGTAATTGCTTTAGTACGTAGTCATATTCAAGGGGACTTAGATGCCACTCGGTTTGAGGAACAGTTATTACGGAGTTTAGGTCTATCAGGAACAGGTTTAGTAGGTATTGCTGGTGTATTTCAAAATGTAGCTGCTATGATTGATGGTTTAGAGGATACTTTAGGGAGTACAGATGTTTTAGAAAGACTATCTAAACGTAATGAAGTACCACTAACTAATGTATCTGCCTTATTACTACGAGGTATATCTTTAGTTAAAGTATCTATAGTCCGAGTTGCTAGTAGTAGTACTGATATGGGTGTAGTTAGTAGTGGTAATGAGATGAGTAGTGGTGGTAGTGAGATAAGTAGTAGTAGTAGTGAGAAATTGAAGGCAATGATTAGTCGAGTGCCTAGTGTGCATGGTGGAAGTGCGTGGTCTGAGTATGTAAAGAGTTATGGCCAGGAAGAGGGCGAAGAGACTACTCCGTTCTTGCGGCGCACAGTTGGCCGGAAGAGAAAGGCTGAAGTGAGCTATGGAATGGAGTGCATGTTTGTGGAAGACAAGTTTCGCGTTAAGCCAGTTGCTGGTACTGAAGACTTCGTGCGTAAACGCCGGGCTTAAGTTTGAGTTGGTAGTTAGTTAGTAGTTAGTTTGGGTGGTAATAAAAGGATTAGTATTCAATTGAGTTGTAATAAGCTGTGATCAGATAAGTTGTGGTAAGTTGTGGTAAGTTGTGGTAAGTTGTGATATGGTAAGATAAGATAAGTTGTGATATGGTAAGATAAGTTGTGATATGATAAGATAATAAATTAGGATAAGTTGGGTTGAGTTTGTGTTGAGTTTGTGTTGAGTTGTGTTAGTGAGGGGTTGAGTTGTGATAAGATAACATAATAAGATAATATAACATAGCATAACCCAACATAACCCAATATAACCTAACTCAATTAACATCTAATCTATTAAAGACATACTAACCGATTTATTGAATGTAGACAACAATATGACGTCATACTAACATAATACCAACCTAATTGGACAATGAATGAGTGATTTAGTGTAAGGAAGGAGTAATGGTTGGGTATCGGGACTACATTAACACAAAATAAGATAAGATAAGATAAGATAAGAGTTTAAATAATAAGGAGACAAGTCTCCGATAACAAAATAAAGAAAGTCTGAGTGCACTATGCTCCTCCAGTAGTGTCATTGGAGCGCCCCCACGCAAGCGAAAAATAAAAGACAAACAAGTCATATAGTCTTTGATTTAGATTAAATTGAGTTGAGTTTGGGTTAGTGTTGAGTTTGTGTTGTGGTTGGTGTTATGTTGATGTTAAGTTGAGTTAGGTTAAGTTGAGTTGAGTTGAGCTAAGTTGGATGTAAGCGAAATTTGGCTGGAAATTGAAAATTGCCTTAAAAGGAAATAATGGAAGGTAGCAGTTTGAGATTTAGAGAAGATTTGGTGGTTTTTCCTTTTATGTATAACTACGTCATGAAAAATGGTATTTGCTTGATTTGGTTTTGGATTGGATTGATTTTGAGTGTTGAGGGTGGCCGGGTTGGTCAGGGGGTGGAAGAGGTGCATGGGTTGTGTAGTTCTGCTAGAATAGTTTGTAATGATACTGAAATGGAACCTATTGTGGACTTGGATAGAAGTTATAGTATTGGATCGGAGGCTTCGGTTACTACTAATCATTCGGTGACTAGTTCAACGGCTACTAGCCATGCTGATAACTCTGCTTCTTGTAATCTTACGGCTGCTATTCCTGCTACTGATAACTCTACTTCTTCTAATAATGCCATACATACTACTGATAACTCTACTACTTCATACTTTCCTCAATCTAGTTCTTCTTCGGCTATTCGGTCTAGTAGTTCGTCGGGTGGACCTTCGGCTCTTACTTATACTAACCCGTTGTTAAAGACACGTAGTTCGGCTGATTGGGATGAGATTGTGACATCTAAAAATGATAGACCTCAGATGTTTCCTTTGATTGAATCTATGTGGAATATTCCTTCGGATTCGCCTAATTTGAGTCCTTGGTTTAGAAAGTCACTGCAACACTGTCGGCAAAAAGCTAGTTATCGTTTAGATGCCTACCAAGAAAAGCTTATGAAAAGCTCTAATCGGGTACTAGTAACACTTATCTCTCCTAATAATGGCTTGCGACCTATATTTAAACTGAACTTGGCGAGTTGTCGAGGGATGCCGCCTATTAGGGTTAGAAGGTCTACCTGGCCGGCTGATGAGAGTAGGTCGCTCTTTTTGTACTTGCGGTTGTTGGAATACGGCAATAACCCATATGATTACGCTGATCGGTTAATCTTGGCTAATGTTGATCTTGAGAAATGGATTAAATTGGCGTTAAATGAACGGCCGGCTGTACATATACTGGATTGTTCACCTAGTTTGATTGCTGATATTCGCTTCTGTATTAAAGTTCGGCAACAAGAAGAACAGCTGGATATGTCTAAACCCGACTGCTCAGAAGAGGTAAATGAGATTGGCTCAATTAAGTACGAAATGGCTTGTAATCTGGATAGTTTATTGGGACTCAGAAAGGATATGTTTAACTCTAACCTTTGGTTGTTAATTGATGCCTATCGGCCGGATCAAACCAACGTGGTGAGTTATCAAGATGGCTTGCCAGTTAAAATCCCGTATTATATTGAGATGTACTCAACTGAATTGTTTGTTGGCGCAGATCTTTTTGCTCTAACTCTACTGCATACTTACCCATCCAGGCAAGATACTGTTTTGCAACAATTTACCGATGAAATCAAAACATACGCTGAAAGTTATCTTCGCCTCTTTACACGCTTGGGCATTAAGCTCCTAGCACTACAACGTGAGAAGTCAATGGACGTCTTTTGGTTAGACGTGCTTATCAAACAACCAATATCTACCAACTCAACTAACCCACCACATACCAATCCATCACACACCAACTCAACTAACCCACTACATACTAACTCACCACACACCAACTCAACTAACCCACTACATGCCAACTCAACTAACTCAATACCAATCCAATCTGATATGTTGCTAGAACCTGAGGCCAGAGAGTTTATGTGGTCAAACTTTCTCATTGTTCTGCATGAGTTCGCGCCTAAGGATACTATATCCATTGATATGGATCTACTAAATGGCCCGGTTGTCCCCCATCTTCAAATACAACTCAGTTTCCACAAGAAAATAGTGCTTGTGGTCAGTGCTCTGCAAATTAGAGAAACCGACGTCGCCCGGTTTATCCATCTTTACTGCAATCCTTCTCATGTGATAGTTTTGGTCCTTTTTGATAACCCAATAAGACAGGCACTGGCTAGATATAAAACGCAGGTTTTCCTGGGTGCTTTGGACCGGGGTTCACAGAATCATAGTGCTTGGGCAAACCTGGTTGGTTGCCGTGCTATTGTATCCGGACTGATAACAGCAGTCCTGTCCTTCTTTGTTGGAGACTTCGTTGTTCTATATACCTATCCTCCTATACTGATTCTATTTGCCTTCATACTAATCACTACGCTGCATTATAATGATATTAAATCGCATAAGTACATGCGTGGGTTTTCAGGGGCCATTGCTTTGTGGATCCTGGTTTCCTTGTCCTTAACCAAGCTCATGATTCTTCAACATAAGAAGGTAATCTCCTGGCCTGAGACGATCTTTTTGTGCATTTCATTCATGACTATGCTAGCCATTATAGGTGTCTACTCCAGCAGTACCATTTATCATCTTAAAAACCGTGGTAGACTTCGGCGACTCCAAAATTACGTGTACTTTGCCGCTATCTTAACGGCATTCTTGCTTATTGTTTCTAGACTTACCAATAACTCCGTTATAATTGACTTTGCATTAGATTCTGGCTTGCCTCTCTTTGCCTGTCTATTTCTCTTAATAGGTCTTATGTTCAGTATGCACCACCCCAATCCGCGCTACGAAGTATCTAAAGCATTAATCATCAGCCTCGTTATACTGTTTATTGTGCTCATGACTCTATTATTGCAGTATATCCAAAATCTGCCCAAGGTTAACCCAATGCCATTAAACATGGGTTAGAAGATTGACTCATTTGGTCTATTTAAGGCCTTAATTAGTATCTGATAGTGCTTTAGAGTGTAAATAAGTATGAAATCAGATGCCAACTTACTGTAATAAATCTGCGAAAGTTTATTTTTGATCTCTTCCCAATTCTAATCCGAATCACTTGGGTTTTGGTTTTAGTTTCTATAGCAACAATGACTGAATTGAGTTAAGTTAGATTAGTATTGGTTTGGTTGAGTTGAGTTGAGTTGAGTTAAGTTAGAGTGGGTTAATATTGAGTTGGGTTCTCGTATTCAATCAACTTTAGCACTAACTCAAGACTATCAATAAATTGAACCTAATCTAACAAAACAAAACACAACAAAACACAACAAAACCTAGCAAAACACAACCACAACAAAGCCTAACAAAACCTAACAAAACACAATACGAACCCAAACTAAACCAAGTCGGTATTGGGCAGATAATAAAAGAGTATATTTACACAGGCCTTTATTCACCGAACAACTTAGTGTGATTTAATCTAGCTTAGCTAATTAGCTAAACTCAACCCTTAACACCAACTCTAACACTAACATCAGCGTAACCTCATACTAACCCAATGGGAGACTTAATTAAAGAGATCAACACCACATCTGTTCTTAATTTACAATGGAGTCTAGATTGTCTAGGTCTGGTGTGCGGCTTCGAAAAGATCAGAATCTTATGGTCCAATTTAACAATTAATTGCTGGGTGGGTATTTATATCAATACAAACAATAATACTATGGGTTCCTGTGCTACACTGATTGAAATAATTCTAGCGATAATTTTCCCGCCAATTGCGGTCTTTTTTGCCACTGGTTGCAGTATGGATCTTCTTATCAATATTCTTTTGACTTGCCTGGGATATCTTCCTGGTATAATCCACGCTATGTTCGTCATTTCGTCCAGCAATCGTCCGAGACGACCGTCCGAGTAGTCGACAACAACCAGGTAACAACCCAAGTGTCGTTAGACCGATTCTGGCGTGCACGTTATAGAATAAATTGATGCTTGGGATTTGGGGCTAAGGCTCAGACATGGCTTATAATTAGCTATTATTGCAGAAACTGTCGGGTTTAGGAAGAAACTATCGGCATTAGTGGTTGTGGAATTAATCTTAACGCAAACTAGCGCTTGGTGGGCTTCGGTTTGATAAACCTCCAGGAAAGCTAGAGTGGATAGCTGGCAGTTCTCAATCAGAATGACAATATGCTGGCCAAATTTGAACAAAGCCACGATTAGAGCTATAGCCTCGGCCATAACTCCACTAAAAGACAGGGATCGCATAAAGGCCCAACTTTCTGAAGGCACACTATCCAGCCTCTTAGACTCATAAGGCTGGGACAAGGCCAGATCTGGAGTTTGGCCAAAGTCAATGTTCTCGAAATGGACGCCTTTAAATAACAAGGCTCCAAACCAAGAGAGCAGCTGTGCTATAAAGGATATACTAGTCACTTGTTTTTGGCCGGAAAACACGTCAAGTTGCTGGTAAGTTAGTGACTGGCAGAACACAGAGTGCTTTTGGCTGAATTCATTGAGTCGATCTAATATGCGACTATGCTGATCCGTGTCTATTTTGAGGCGCAGGCCGGGAAGGTGTAGAAGAGAACTGTGCTTGGGAGATGAAGTAAAGGAATCCGAGTATTCAACGTTTGTGCATATTTCTCGGAACAGTTGCAACGTCTCTTGGCGATGTAAAAGGCAGGTTGTTCCCGGGAAAAAACGACTGATCACTGGCTCCACAGCCAAGTCTAAAAACGACATTTCAGCCAGAGCATTGTGCAACAGCTGGCCATCTGAGTAGCAGGATGTTGTCTTGGCAGCAAACACAATAACATTCTCCGCCTGAATCCATTGGGTCTGGCGCGCAGGAGCAAGTGGCTCTGCCCTTATAAAACTCCAATGCACACACAGCTGCCAAACCTTCACAATCTTGCGTGCCACCAGGCTGTCAGAGTAGTCTCTTAAAATACCGTAGTCAATATCAACTATGGTTGGCTTTCTGTTCAAAAGCTCAAACAATCCAGTTATGTGGGGCGGTTTCTCCTGCTTATTCAGCCGGCTAAAGAGAATAGTGAGGTGCTGGCAGTTGTATGGCAAATAAGCTAGCTTGTGCAACACCACATCCGTTGTTTCTGGCGCCAGAATAAGAGTTAGGCGGTATAGTTCGGTAAAATAGATCTTGTCAAGATAGTCGATGTGCTGAATAGGACAGTTGTCAAGATAGAGCCAGCCAATTATCTTCTCTCTAAAGATCTCTATTAAACATCTGAATGCATTTTCATCCATGTTGCTGACTGTTACCTTTTCAATATATGGCCGGTAGACCCGCTTAGTGTCATGCTTCACTAGGTTAAAGATCACATCCTCTCGGCAATGCATTAGAAAGCTATCCGATGGCCAGCTCGACTTCTTGGCATATATGACTAGTCCTTCGCAGTTTAAGAGTACTATAAAACGCGCCAAGGCATTGAAAGCAACAAAGTGGTCCAAATCAATGTTCTTTAGCACAAAGCGCTGGCCTTGGATGACGCGCACTTGATGAAGCAGTGTGTAGATGTATGAGGCCACGTTAAAGCAAAATGGAGCCGCAAAGTCAATGTACAAACATTGCCGGTAGATTTTAATCGAAATGCCACGCTCATTATACTGTATAACGTACCAGGACCTGTCTTCTCCAAATTGTGGATCGGACTGGCTTTCACTGTAATGAACAATCGTTGGACTAATCAAAAAGGCATGCAGGGCGTCCACTTCTGCCGGGTATAAATTGGGCAGCTCATCGTTGCTTGCCTCACGATCCTGTATTTCCAAATCGTGATCCAAAGTAGCGGCTACCAACCCACTATCTACATTCAAGAACCTAAAATTTAGAGCTGAAGTCAGAGACATCAGCCAAGCACTCCCTAATATCACAAGCAGAGCCATAACTCTCAATATACCCTTAATGACCCTATCTCTCATATCTTTCAGACAAAAATAATTTGGGTTGGCAATGTGTTTGATTTGGTTTGATTTGATTTGGTTTGATTGTTATTCAGTTCTTACTTTGAAGATATAAGCCAATGCCAACACAATATCGCACCATCTTAGTTTGCCACAACTCATTAAACACTACACCACATAAGCAACTCGTTTAATCAATAAATTGAACCTAAACTATCCCAAACTAATCTTAATATTTGATTTATTTTGAAAGATACCGATTAAGAATCAGCCGTTTGGCTAAGAGTTATTCATCGGATAAAAGGAAGGCGCTGGCTTATGTTGCTCTGAACATTAGCCCATAGGTCATTAAAGAATCCTTGAATACGGTGATCTATCAAGTCAATGTGTTTAATCTCGGACAGAACGCAGCAGACAACCAAGCTAATAACAAAAATAGCCAGAGCCACTGCAAATATTCGCATGTGCTTTTTGGCATCTGTATTCTGGCCCTCTATTGCTTTTCGATCTGCAGACTTGCTTATGAACGGGATCAAAATTCCAAAGGTTCCTCCAATGAACAGTCCTACACCTGTGTTGAGAAGTTGAACAAATCTCGCGTGAGACACAAACAGCCGTAAGCCCGGCAAACATATACTGCAAACGATAATACCTGTGATTAGGAAATAGAACATGCTCTGCTGGGCTATTGGTGGTCGGAGGTTCTGACCTTTCTTCCTGAGCACCAGCCCAATAACCAACACATGAGCCGTCACAAGTATTCCGATCAGGGTAATGAGAATTATGTCGTCAATACGGATCGCCGAGTTATATGTTGCAACACTAAAGCCAGCTACACTAATGCAGGCAATAATAGTTGAAGTAATATTGATAATGGTTAGGGCGGCCTTTCGTTTATATGGCGGGGAATTCTTATCCTGGAACATGACCATCAGCACGAAGCCCAATGTAATGTATAGAATACCGCCGACCATCAGGCCAATGATGCGGTATTTAAAATAGAACATGAAGATGATCCACATTACGACTTGAAAACTCGCCCCAAGCAGAACACGGCAAACTGCGAAAAGCGTCCATCTCGGATTCTTACTTCTCTTTATAGCACGCTCAATTCTACTGGTCAGAGTCTCATGCTGACTAGGAGGAACCGCCGATGAGAAAAGAAACCGAATATCAGTTGGAATGACCTGCCATTCTAAGCATGCTTGGAGAAAGTCAATAGGCAAATCTTCACTGGATAGAATGACGACTAAAGTTTCAGCTTTGCGAACTTTTGCAACTTGGTCAGTTGTTAATAGTGTCAAGGCCGAAATATCGGTTAGACAGTCTAGCTTGCAACTCACCAGCGGGCTTTTTAGCGAGGTTAGCTTTGCCGCGCCGTTTTTGATTTGTTGGTCAGTTTCGTCCTCTGAACAAGCCGCATTGCAGATTTGGTGAAGCTGCTGTCCGTGAGTGACTATAAGAGTATTAAGAGCTCCGAGTAGCTGATTGAGAATGCCAGGCTCTTTGATCTGTTTGACGATAGTTGGGTTTATAAGCGTTGTGGTATAGTACCATGGGTCTGCCGCGGCTCTGGACTGAGGGCGACCATACCCCAGCTCGCCAAGGAACTCTTTGAGCTGGTGTGTTGTTTGGGGTGGTAAGCAAGCATTCAGAAACTTGTGTCGAAATAGGGTAGTCATTCGGGACATTGCGGCATAGTTCTCTGTGGGAATGTTTAGAGTAAAGATACCGAGGGCCATAATGTTGAGGATTCTTTCGGCACTAACTTGTGCGAAAGGATGGTTGGGTGGTAAATCTAGCCCGTTGTTTTTAAGAAGATAGACAATGTCCTCTAGGGCTTGTTTTGCAGCTTGCTTGGCCTTATCGGGCTGGTTTTTCTGAAACACGTCTTCGTCTAGGGCAATGCTCAGATGATTTAGAAAGACGTTCCCCATGCAGTCATAGAGATGGGCGTCATTTTGCTGTTCAGCTGGATAGTCTAGACAATTTCTCCAGAAGCTATCCCACTTCTCTGGGTCCGCTAGTCGTGCAAAGTACGGATACGTCTTTGTGATAATACTCGCAGCACGACTATTCAAAATAGAGCGATTTTGATCTTTCCAAATTTGCCGAACTGTCTTTTCCAGATCGGAAATGACCTTTATCTTTTGTTTAGACAGGTCCTGGAAGAGCTCTCCCACTCCCCTCTCTGGTATTTCGTCTGTGTTAGTTGTGGTGTCAACTGAAAGTAGTCCACACCACCAAATCAGCAAAAGGAAGGCCGCCCAGCCACCAAACGTCTGTCTCCTTTGATATCTGGCTGCAACCGGACCACTTACATTGCTATGCAACAATTTTGATTGTTTATCAATTGTGGCGTAGTTCATTTTGATTTTAGGGGTTAATTCTCGCCAATTTACATCAAACCAACCAATCCCCAACCAGCCATACAAATTCGAGTAACACATGCCATTACCATTAATACAACCCAATACTAACTGCCGTGCTCTAAGAAGGAATATCCTCTAACCCAATACTAACTGAACTAAAGACATAGTCGAACCGGAATCTCTTCTCTCTTTATTCCTATTAGCGGAGCTGCGAGCTTCTGTTACTGTTCTTACGTGTTTGGTAAAGCCATGACTATCTCGATGTATATCAAAAGTTGGATTCATCTTCTTCTCAAATCTCAAATCTCACATCTCATATCTCACATCTTATATTTCACATCTCAAATCTCACATCTCACATATCAAATCTCACATCTCAACCTGTATTTATAGCTTGAGATTATGATCTGATGTTGAAGTTTGACTTCTGATTAATACCTTCGTTCATATTGGGTTAGATTCATATTGGGTTAACACATCTAATCCCTTTGAAACAACAGTCCAATGCGTCTGCCATAGCTTCTAGAACCTGCACGTGGTCAGCAAAGAAGGCGGCGAACGCTCTGAACACCACACTAAACCAATACTAAGTCAACAAAACTCCAAATCAATCCAATACGCCAACCCAATTTATTCGAAATACTCTCGCCGATCAGCATACTTTTTACTATCTAATTGTAAATGGCTTTCTTGGCAGTCTCTATAAGCCCAGAGGCCGTCTCTTGGACCCAAGTCCATTGGCTTCTAAAGAAGGAGCGAACAGCAATATCAATATGACTGGTGTTAAGAGTAGGCAGTTCATATAAAACAACACAAGCCACCAAACCAACGATCAAGGAACCCAAAACAACAAGGAAGGCAACATTTCTCGCCCTATTCTCACCATTGTCTTTTTGCGATATAGCTCCCAAAGTCTGAAAAAGACTAAAGACCAATGCCATGCCTAGTAAAATACCCGAATCAACAACCCGAGCAAAAGTCACTGGAGATAAGAATAATCGCGAGACCGGCAAGCCAAGACTAATCACAACAATAAAGATGGCAGTTAGATAATAGAGTTGTTTGGCAACTGCCGGGCCCTTGGCCTTCTCTTTTATCTTCAAGAACACGAACGCGCCCATGGCGGCCCAGGTCACTATACCACCCAAACAGACTCCAAGATAAAGTATATCTTCAGGCCGGATGGCAGAGTTGTATGCTGCAATGCCAAACCCAAACATGCCCATCAGACCAATGAGAATGGAAGTAATGTTGATAGCCACCAAAATATTCTTGATATGTCTCGGTGAATTGCTATCATGCTTACTCAATAATAAAGTAGCCACGGTTAAGGTGACATACAGCACACACCCAATTACAATGCTAAGCGGTCGATACTGGAAGTAGAAAACGAAGATCATCCATAGCATTATTTGAAGCCCAGTGCCCAATAGAACCCGGAATGCCGATAAAAACGTCCAACTCGAATACTCACCGCTCTTGATTTTAAGATGCTTCTTCTTCATGGCATCAGCTTTGGCCTTATTGGCTGCAACTGATGAAGCGAAGATGAGATGAATGTCTGCCTGTAACCTCTCATGTAAGTTAAGCAGAAACTTGTCTGGGACATCTAACGTCTCTAGTATAAGAACCACTGTTTTAGTGTACGTCAGTAGGTTGGCCTCCTTGGTCTTTAGCAACACGACATCGTTAATGTTCTTCAACGGGAATATCCTGCAATTGGTGATCGGGCAACCAAGCGTGCCTAACTCAACGGCGGCAGCTTTGACTTGCTCGTCTTGCTCATCAGCAGGATGTTTTCCCTCACAGACCTGTTTAATCTGAATATTGGCTTCTATTTGCATTCGGTTAAGAGTTCCCATCATGTTATCAAGTGCATATGACTCCTTGATGTACAGAGCAAGCCTTGGAGTCATGAGTGTCTCAGTGTAGCACCACGGCTTGATTTTCCCTATATCACGTGCTATACTAACAAAGAAGTCCTTTAATTTGGCAGTTGTATCATCTGATAACCCACCATTCAAAAACTTTCTTCTAAATAGATCAGCAAGATCAAAGTCCAGATTGGATGCGTCCATGAACGTAGAACTGAATTTTAGCTCCTTCAATCCAACCAAAGCAATTGCCATCATGTTAAGGCACCGCTCAGGAGAAAAGCTCGCATAAGTAGAATCCTGTGGACTGTACAGATCAGAGAAATCCCTGGCAACTAAAGCAATATCCATCAAGGCTTGTTTAGCTGCTTGTTTAGCTTCCTTAGGCTTCTTCTTCTGAAACTCGCCTGGAACTAGCGCGAAGTTTAGATGGTTCAAATAGGCTTTCATCATACACTCATGAAGAGCTTTATCATTGCTATCGGCATGGCCGCCGTGCTCGCTCAAAGACTCGTTGCAGGTACTCCAGAAGGCCACCTTATCGGCCCTTGTGGGGGCCAGTTTCAAGTATGGATAGTTTTGGCTAATCTCCGATTTAGAAAGACTCGATGCTATCTTGGCATCCTGTTTAGCTTTCCAAATATTGTCGACCGTAGTCCTAAGACTATCAATAACAGACACATGACACCCTAGTAGAATGCCCATAATCTCCGTTTCATTGACCGGTTTTATTTCGCGTGCTTGAGCTGGTTCCGCTTTGACGGACCCTTCTGATGCAGCGCTCGCCCCGGCCGACCCTTCTGATGTAGTGCTCGCCCCGGCCGATCCACTAACTAGTAACACGCCACCACAACAAGCCAGCAAAAAGAAGAGTCTCCATGTGCAAGATAAGATTCTTCCGCGACGTTTTTCTGTAACCAAACTACTAGAAGTTCTAATTCTTCCTCCTAATCGTTTATCCATGTCGTTATGATTCATCTTAATCAGGAGTACGTTAATCACTCTTATACTAACAATCCAATAATACTTGTCCACACAGCAAACCGTTTATAACCCCATACCAATGATCCAATCAATACCTTCTCAACACTGCCCAATAACACTAACTGTTGTGCCCCAGGGGAGGATAAAGACCTCTCATCCAAATATACTCAACGAGAAGTAAGTCGGTATTGAGTTAAGTATTGAGTTGGTATACAATTCTGAGCAGTTTCTAGGTCTGGTATGTTCTTCTGTGAATCCTTTATGGAAGTCCCTTGTCAATCTTCGTCGTATATTATTGGCCTATCTAAAGTCATAAGGAATAAATATCTAAGTTATTTGCCCACGTACTTACTCGTCTAAAAGTAGAGATATCTCGAGATCCTCATTAAAATGTGTGGAAGGTACAGACACCACCTTAACCCAATACTAATTACACCTTTATTAATCCAATTACAACTCAACCCAACTTAACTCAACTCAACTTAACCCAACTCAATTATTCATATCATATACAAAGCCAGTATAGATCTGCTCACCCGACTTAGTCCAATGAAATTCATGGTAGCAGGGTGCGCATAAGAGTTTAACTGTTGGTGGCAACATGATATCATACCTCTTCTTATAAACGGACACATTACTTTTACAGATATCACATACTCGTTGTTTAGTACCAACTCGTTTAAGAATAATCCCTTGCCTACTCCCAGTCTCTTCCCTTTCGCCATTAAGTGGATAAACCGGCAAACAGACACTCTCTCGCTCTACAAACAAAACATGCTTACCATCCACTATCAAATGCAATCCATCCTCAGCATCAACTAACTTTGTACCACTTGCACTTACATTCGCAGTAACTTGATTTACTTTCATTTGTCGTTGTAATTCATAGCAAAGATCTGCAATACTTATCTCAAGATTTGCCGTAAATCTCCATTCTTTCCTACCTTTTGTTCCCACTAATACACCATGCAGAACTTCCTCCTTAGTCCCTATTTCTACCCCTAACGGGGCAAATGCTTTCTGTAACCACTCAAAATGCATAATTTTTTAGCCAGATCGTCATTTATGGCGAATTACTTAAAGGGGAAATGCTTTTCAAGAAACTGAGACAGATCAAAACCAAGATATTCAAGCAAAAGAAACTTATGCCACCAAATAACGATACAATCGACCACGAAAAAAGCGCAAACAAGTCAGAGCCCGATGTAGATCAAAGCACCTTGGCCGGAATAAGATATCTCCGCCAACGACTACTTGGATCTCAAAAACGGTACTTTGATAGCGCCGACCACTTTTTGAAGCTACACGAGATGGAAAAGAGAAAACAGCACATAGAAACAACTGAAACAGATTTAATTGAAGACGAATGCACTCCATTAGATAGTATTTTGGAAACCGAATGTGGCAGTATGACCGCCGCCGCTCCCCTTGAAGCCTACAGCGAAATTATTGACGAAATGAAGCCCAAAGAGTCTGTTTAGATTAGATTGAGTTAGGTTGAGTTAGATTGACTTAAGTTGATGTTTAGATTGAATTAAGTTGAACTAAGTTGACTTAAGTTGAGTTTAGTTGATTTATATCTCTTTACCCCTTCTTGGCCCCGTATACTAGCCCAATAGACCGGGCAAATCAGATATCATTTAGTTATTAGTTCTTATTTGTTATTACGGATCACTTGTCGTAGTACTTATTACCCATGGCCATTTGCATACTAACCCAACTTGACTGTGCTGATTTTATTGACTTTATTGACGCTGACTGACCTCACTCTGGCCGTACTGTTCGACTTACTTTATGCTGCGGGGCCGTCGGAGGAGTGAAAATTCCCAGAAGCCATCCATGGCATAGGACTCTAGATACTTGGGACCGCCTACTGGCATGAGATAGCGCACAATTTCGGAAAGATTAGGATCTATCCGGTACATGCCCCTTCTAATAAGTAACTTGATAAGATCGGGATGTCCCTGATGTTTCTCGATCGACTGCAAGCACGAATAAACCCTTTTCATTTCCTTATTATCTATTTCCACCCAAATATCCAAGGGAATCCGCTTAAGATCTTCCTGTTGGAAGGCAAACTCAAGCTTAGCCCCAAAGATCTTATAAATAGCCGTATAACACTCAACTAAAATAACAACTCGATGCGGAGTTAGATTGGCCTTAAGATAGTCTATTTTCTCAGTTAGTACTGTAAAGATACCCTCATGAAGATTGCCAGGAATCTTCAATCTTGATAGTTCAGGAATAACAAACCAGTACCGATCAATACTTCTTTGGGTTAAAATAAGAAGGTAAGTACGTAATAGTCGTTCGTTAATACCTTTCCAGGCTCTTAGTTCATCAGGTAAAGAGTGCAGCTGGGCTTCTTTCTGAATGGCCTTCTCTTCAGTGGTCAGTTTGCGCATCTCTTCAGGACGTAAGCGTACAAGACGTTCTGGTTTAGCTAGGACCTCATCAGAAATACTTAGTAGGGCTTTAATGGCCTTTTTAGAGACTTTTTGGAGATTCATTTGGTTGACTACCTCTAAAATTTTGATAATCCGATTGCCCTTATCGCACTTAAAGATTGTTTTTAAAGTCTTAGTGCACTTTTGGCCAAGTCGGCCCTTGATAGCTGTTCCTTTAACTACTTTACCAATTAACTTACTGCTTTTGTTGAAGAGCACTGTTTGGGGCAGTAGAATAGTCGCTGCTTCATAAGACTCGTCAGTTCTTGATCGAGTGAGCATTTTAAGATACCCGCGCCATTCTTGGGCTAAAGAATACTCATAATTGGTTGCTTTTGATCGCGTGTTATATTTAAAGGCGGATAAGTGGATATTATAAGAGGGTAGCAGATTTAGATAGACTTTGGCTAGTGAAAGGACTACTAGACGAGGTGATCCCTTCTCTTTCTTTTGTAAAAGTGCTTTAGTAGCTCGTTTCACTGCACCTAAAGCACGTTCACTTGGTTGGGCTAACAATCGGCTAATACTTTCCACAAAGATCATCTTTTCTGTTCTTTCATCGCCATCTTCTTCTCTATCAACGGGTGTACGTGGTTCCATGCGAAAAGAGTTTTTCAGAAAAGATCGTTAAATACAGTGGTTGTAATACTCTCTTCCACAGAATAAAGAGGATTGTATAGTACTTGATTGATATATCTGGAGTGGATACGTTCGACCCAATCTTTAATTTTGGTTTTATCGGCTGAATTATCATGTAGAACTGCAAAAATCAAACGAGTTGCTGTTCGTAGAGTAGTTAAACTGGCCTTTTCGTAGGTAAAAGTCACTTGTTGGTATTTTCCCTCTCTAGTACATAGCTGACTTTCTTCTAGAATCTCTAAACCTGCATAAATAGTACTTGCCAAAGCAATGACCTTATCTACCTCCACTGACTTAACTAGTTCAGGAGACACTATCTTATGGTAAACCAAACTACCCGAAGCACTTACTATAAGCAAAGCCCGAATCATCAACAAAAAATTGGCCTACACTATGTATATCTACACTCTTATTGAGTTAGTATTTGTTTGAGTTAGGTTAGGTTAAGGTTGAGTTGAGTTGAGTTGGGGTAGTATTGGGTTGAGTTAGGTTTGGATTGCGTTAGTTGAGCTATATTGATTGTAAGTTTATTGCCTGCTTAGCTATCACTTTAACTTAATCAGACTTATAATAACAACTTAGTATAACTTAAACAATATACACCACCGCACCTTTTATTACTTTAATCACTACCTAAGCCAACCTAACTCAATACTAACTTAACTCAACTCAACTAACTCAATATTAACTTAACTCAATTTAACCAATAACTAAAAGTGAATTTGAAGTATACTAAACTCTGAAAAAATAGATATGTCTTTCATTTTGAATTTATTCACTCCTACTTCTATTTATTCAGTTAAGTTAAGTTGGGTTGAGTTAAGTGGAGTTAATATTAAGTTGAGTTGAGTTAGGTTGAGTTGAAATAAGATATACTTTGTTGTTAAGTTAAGTTAATGTTAAGTTGAAATAAGATATAGTTTATTGTTAAGTTGTTATTAAGTTAGTATTAAGTTGTTGTTAAGTTAAGTTAGCCTAAAACTGGCTTAAGAACACAAATGCCATGCTTGTGTTCAACATAGAGGAACTGGCCATCGGCATAGGCCTGTCCACACTCTTCCAGACGAATACAAACGGAATAGTTTCCAATGCTAAACTCAGAATCGGTTTTTGGTCCACCAAGAGTAAAGGATAGTACTTCTTCTCGATTACGCGCAATACCTGCGAACAATCCATCACCAAAGTAGACAAGAGACTCTGGAATAACTCCTGGAATCCGAAAGAAGCGCGTGATTTCTAAATGCTCATTCAAAAGAAGAGCAACCTTATCATTAGCTACTAAGTACTCTTTCTTGCCCTGCTGAGTTTCACCGATATGCTGGCCAACCTGGTGAATCGGCAGAAGCCTTTTTCGGTCTCCCAAAACAAAGTAAGAGTCAGAATCTTCGACTACAATTTCAGCCATAGTTTTAGCTGATTTAGCTGCCAAAACCAGTGAATCAGTCTTATCGCGCTCCTCTTTCTTCACAAATTTCTCCCAGCCCATAAAAAGACAAACCATTGTGAGTTTAGATTACTATCAATACATTTTACAATACCTTTCACAAGATCTTTCATTTACTTTATTGAGTTAGTGTTGGGTTGGGTTAGAGTTGAGTTGGGTTAGGTTGAGTTAGAGTTGAGTTGAGTTAGAGCTTGTTTCAGAACTAAGTATAGGCCCTCGCGTGTTAGAATAGAACTGGCTTGTGTGGTTTGTCCGGCTAAAACATGTTTGATTTTGTCTCGCATTTCTAAGTCACTTGTTGACTGGCCAATTGCAGTTGTAACTTGCTTGATTAGATCAAAAGAGTGCATGCTAACTCGTTCTTTTCTTATCTCAGATCTTTGCCGGGCCAAAATTGTTACTTTCTCTGAACTGGGCCCTAAACATAAAGAGTCAAGCCGTTTGACTAGACCTTCCTGACTATCTCCTAGGCCATCTAAACAGATTCGAGCAAGAACGGGACATCGCATTCGAAAATAAATTGTGATACCATTATAGACTTCCAAATCTTCCAAATAGACCAAGTTACATCATCGTTAGTCACCGATTCAGTTTTACTTTGAAACACCGTATCATAATAAGACATATATTCTCCTAGAAACCTCAAAGCAATGGCAGAAACAGCAGACGCAGGCACATCTTCATCAGGATCAGGCAACTCTACCACCAGCAAAATAACCAAAGTAGTTAAGTCCAAGAAGTTCTTAGTAGTAGTTGGGTTAGTTTTTCTAATCATCGTTATCCTTATTACCATTATAGCATTCCGAGGACACAGCACCTCAAGCACCGCTGTAGGATCGGCCCAACATCTCGTCCAGAAGTCCCATGCAGTTACTGCCGCCGCCAAACCCGGCGAGGCACAATCAGCAGAGCCCGTAGCCGCTAATAATCCTAAGCCCAACAAATCCCATAAAAAGCGCAAGGCCAAACCATCCCAAAATGGTGCCACCGCCAACCTATTGGGCATAAATGACATCAAGCTCATCGATCTCAAGAGTACCCTTACCGCCAAAGAAGAATCCGCCAAGGCTATCAATTAACCATCCAATCCCAGTCCAGCTCAACCCATATTGCATCAATAAATTTGGTATCTAACTTAGCCATCTCTACCTTCCTAATCCCAACTCAATCCTATAATCAACCAATTGAATCCAATACTAACTTGACATAAACTCAAGCACCACCTTACTACCTTCTATTACATAATCACTCATTTATTCACTCCACTCCACTCACACTCATTCACTCACCAACTCAACCTTATTTCACTCACCCCACTTCACACAATCATACAATCACTAACTCACCACACATCACTCACTCACTCATCAACTCACTCCACTCCATCACTCCATCACTCCATCACACAATCACTCACCACACACAATCACACACACACAATCACACACAAGCACACATCACACACACACACACTCACAAATCTTATCTCACTACTAAATCCATGCCAATTTGTCTTTTTTTATGGGTTTGATTGGATACCGGTTACAAGATGGTCAAAAGAAGTACTGTTTATACGATAGTTCAATCCGTTCAGATATTCTAGCCGCCCACCCAGCTAAATTCTCTCCCGAAGACGAATTCTCTAAGTATCGCATCGAATACAAGCAACAAACTAAACAACTATTCAACAATTCAGATTCCAATTCAGATTAATCGAAATTCAGATTAATCGAAATTCGAAATTCAGAATATTCAGAATATTCAGAATTTCAGCTTAACCAAACCAATAAAGATAGTACGACTTACGATCTACAACTTAACAAACTTTCAACTCTATCTAAACCCTACCTAAACCCTCTCCCAACCCAACACTAAACCTAAATACTCACTCAACTCAATACTAAACCCGGCCTAATTTGTCTTTTTTTATGCTTAGATACTATACTACTGAGTATGATGGCTGTACATATAAGAAGGAAGAGCCCAAAGAGGCCAAAGAAAAAGTAACGGGCAGTAAGTACTTGCTTGATTATCTTGAAGTTGATAATGATCAAAAAGAAGAGCTCAAACGGCTTATCACTAAAATGAATACACGAAGCAAGTGGAAAGACCTTTCAGAGAAGCAAGAACGTATCTATTCCAAAATGGAAAAGATCTTATCTAAATTACGCAACTACACTCCATACGCCACACCTTTCCTAAACAAAGTTAGTAAACGCGAAGCTCCCGAGTACTACAATCTAATCAAACACCCAATGGATCTAGGCAAGATAGGTAAAAAGATAGCGATGCAAGAATACTCAGATGTTTCTGAATTTGTAGATGATTTAGCTCTAATTTGGAGCAACTGTTTTCAATTTAATCATGATCATGGTAATGTCTATGCCAACTATGCCCAAAAGATGAAAGAGAAGTCGCTTATCCTTCTACAAGACCTCTATGCTGAACGCGAGATTGAAATCAAAGAAAGACCAGAAGAGATAGCTCATTTCCATGCCACCGAAAAACTCCGTAAGGAAATGACAGTCTCCCGAACAGCTATTCTCCAACGCCCCCAAGAATTCGCCAACCACCGCACTGCCCACGAAATGGCCGATTTCTGGAAGAAAGAAACCGAGGCCTGCAAAGACCTCCAAGCGTTTAGCCTAGATAAGTTCACCACGCTCAGTAGTATTATTGAAGCCAATCCACCCCCCAACACTCGACCTTACATTCCCGAGTACAGTCACTTCCATAACAGTTTTCCCGTTTTTGAACCCGAACCCCAACCCACCACAACCTACTCTCTTGACAGTCTCCTAACCAATCCAACTCCTCTTACTAACCCCATTCTAACTCCACTCAATCCCTCCCTAACCTACCACCATCGTACATTCTTCCAAGACCAACAACCCCTACCCAACCTCCAAATCAGCCGTTTTGAAGTCTTCCCCCTTCTCAAAAGATCTATAGCCACTAATTTAGCCACTATTGGTTTTACAGCCACCGAATCTTCCGCTCTCAATATTCTTGTTTCCCATACGTTCTTTCAAATCGATCTTCTCCTTGAAGCCATCCAAACTCTCCAAATTCAAATCCGCCAAAGTCCCAACCCCGATCCCACCCAATCCACAACCGATCTCATTCTCAAAGCCATCATCAAAAAGTACCATCTAAAATCCACCGATCTCGAACCCGAATCCTTCTTCTCCGAGGAAGAAGAACCCCCCGAAGAAGAATCACTCCTTGACCTCATCTATTCCGATGGCGAAGACATAGAACCCCTAGATGACATGCTCTAACCATTCCAACCACTTGAGTTTCCACCTAAATCCACCCCACCCCACCCCACCTAACCAAACCAACACAACACAACACAACTCAATTCATTTTGTAATAAACCAACTACTACACAACCCCATTTATTCATATCTCCATTACATCCAACTTATATTATACTGAATAGTCTATAACCCCATAGCACATATCAAGTTAAGTCCAAATTAGTCCAAATTAGTCAAAGTTAGTTCAAATTAGTTCAAATCAGTCAAAATCACAACTTAACACTAACTCAACTCAACTTGATACTCAACTTAACTTTATACTAACTTTATACCATCGCAACGTAACACTAACTCAACCCAACTCAACACAACTCAATACAATACTAAACTCAACTCAATACTAACCCAATCTGATACCAATTTTTTTCATGGCTGCTATTGTTCGCATCGATCGTCCCGACCGTTCTATCTCCAAAGAGATTATCAGAACTTTCTTCAGTCGTTTTGGCACCATTCATAAGATTACTTTACCTAAAAGAGGTGAAACTCATGCTTTAGTCGAATTTGCAACCACCCAACAAGCCCGTTTAGCTATCAAAGAACTCAACAGTACAACACTTCAAGACATTCATGGCCGCAAAAAGCAACTCAAAACCGCCAACTCCCAATTCATCTGGAATCTTTCCCTCATCCCTAATATCCTCTGGGAAGAAAACCCACAAGAAGCCCAACTCCCCCGCCTCGAAAAGAAGATAGTCGAGCAAAAGAAGCGCAATCTCACCTACATAGAATCCCTCGGCCCCCAAATCACCATCAACCACCAAGTCAAACAAAGACCCATCATCAAGTTAAGTACTCCCAAATCCACTCCCCACCCCAATTAACTTACTCAATCTTATCTACATCTAAATCTTATCTACATCAACTTACTACATCTTATCTAAATCTACTCTATCTAAATCGTATCTAAATCAACATACTCAATCTTATCTAAATCATAACTTAACAATTTATTAAATCTTATCTAAATCTACATCAACTTACTCCATCTAAATCTTATCTAAACCATAACTTAACAATTTATTAAATCTTATCAAAATCAAAATCAACATACTAAATCTAATCTAATTTCAATTTTGGCAGAAATCTACTCAACCCAATACCACCCAACCCCAAACCAACTCAACCCCACCCCACCCCAACTTAACCCAACTCAACCCCACCTCTTTTTATTTTATTTATTTTCTCTATTTTTGAGCCCTTGTAATGGGGCGTAGACCAGGAAGGTGTTATAGATACATCAAAAACAAACCATATCCGAAATCTAGATTTTGTCGTGGAGTTCCAGACTCTAAACTATCTAAGTACGATTCGGGTAAAAGAAAAGCCGAAGTTTTAGAATTCCCAGTCTGCACTAATCTTATCTCAATGGAAAGAGAACAAATCTCAGCCGAAGCTCTAGAAGCAGCTCGTATTGCTCTTAATAAGTACTTAACTACCTCTCTAGAGAAGAATGCTTTTCACTTCCGAGTCCGAGTACATACGCATCATGTCGTTAGAATCAACAAAATGTTAAGTTGTGCCGGGGCTGATAGATTGCAAACTGGAATGAGAGGATCATTTGGTAAACCTTATGGCCGAACAGCTCGAGTAGGTATTAATCAAGTTTTGATATCAGTAAGGAGTAAAGAAGGATCGGAAGAGAAAGTCCGAGAAGGTTTAAGACGAGCGATGCATAAGATTGCTGGTAAGCAAAGGATTGAAGTTTCAGATAAGCATGGATTTACTTCATTTTCACGGGAGGAGTTTGATCGGCTTAAGGAAGAGGGCAGATTGCTAGGTATGGGTATTGGTGCTGTTGCTATCAAGGCCAAAGGTTCAATTACTGAGTATATTGAGAACATCTCTAATGCTCTATAAATAAAGTAGTCGGTAGTTGAGTTGGTATTTGATTTAGTATTTGATTTTGATAAGATTAGATTGGGTTGTTGTTTTGATTTAGATAAGATTGTTATGGGGTTGTTTTGATTTTGATTAGATTGAGTTAGTATTTTGATTTTGATTAGATTGAGTTAAGTTGTTATTTTGATTAAAGTAAGTAGATAGTATTTTGATAAGATTAAAGTAGATACCATACCAACTTAATCTAACCTTGTAGTAAGTAGATATAGTTGAGTTAAAATAAGATGACGTCATATTGAGTTTAGTATTGAGTTTAGTAGTGAGTTTAGTTTAGTATTAAGTAGAGTACTAAGTAGTGAGTGGCTTACCAGTAATTAAGTTGCTCTTATTACTATTGAGTTGAGTTGGGTAGTGGTCGTATGACAACAGTACATTTAGTTAGTATTTAGTTAGTATGTAGATAAGATAAGATTAGATTGAGTTAAGTTAAGTTAAATTGTTATTTAGTTGTTATTTAGATTACAGCAAGTAGATACCAACTCTATACCAACATAATACCAACTCAATAGTACTTGAATAAGTGCTGAGGTTGTCTATTGAGTAAATAAAGGTGAGTTAAAATAAGATGACGTCATATTAAGTTTAGTTTTAAGTTGAGTTACTTTTGAGTTAGAATTAGATAGTAGCCAGATGACGTCATTACATTAAGATAAGAATAAGATCTTGATTTGCTTAAGAATGCCATACCACCCCAACTAACTCAACACCACCCCAAAACTAACTCAACCCAACACCAACTTAACTCAATCTAATGTGTAAAATTGTAGCAAAATGCGAACTTCCGGGTTCGAACCGGAGACCTTTAGATCTTCAGTCTAACGCTCTCCCAACTGAGCTAAGCTCGCTGTTCTTCTTCTGTTAGAATATCTCTCCCCTCTACCCCAACTCAACCCAATCTAATCTATTTATATTTTCTTAGCTAATTAGCCCATGGAAGACTGTCGCTACTTCCTAAGGGGTAATTGCCGTTTTGGTAAAGCTTGTCGTTTCAAACATACCAAAAAATCATCTATTTTTAGTCCGCCAATTTGGATACTTAGTTCTTATACTGATAACGATCTTACACTAACTGAATATGCTTATTCCTTTGAAGAAGTAAGAGCTGCTTACTATTCAGCTAAGCAAACAAGTGAATCTTCTCTTTATAACTTCTTTACAACTTGGAATGATTTAGTCACTTCAGCCCATCACTCACTTACTCAAGCCATTAATCAACTCACTAAAGACTCTTCTTCCTTTCTTGGTGACTCAGATCGTACTATTGACATACGTAATCCCCAATACTACCCCTGTATAATCAATCCACTACCCCTCCCTGAAGTATTCCACTTAGCCCTCACTCAACCTCTACCTACTCCTACTTCTACTTCTACTCCATTTACTACTACTACTCCATCTAGTACTTCATTTACTCCATCTAATACTCCATTTACTACTACTACCAATACTACTCAATCTAATACTACTCCATTTATTAACACTACTACTACTACTAACTATCCTAACACTAACACTACTACTACTAACACTACTCCACTTAACTCCACTCAACCTAACTCCACTCCACTTAACTCCACCCTACCTACTCAATCTAACTCCACCCAACCTCTACCTACTCAACCCACCCTAACTCAATTTAACTTATCTACAACATTACCTAAAAAGGAAATTCAAAACAATCCTAAAAAGGAAATTCAAAACCCAAATCAACCTATCATCTACGAATTAGGAAATATTCCGTTACGACCCCCCGGATACTAATTTTAATTTTTTGAAGATTACCCCACGTATTACATGTCTAAACATACAAATAATAAGTCTAATAATACTTCGCTTGATTTAGATATAGTTTTAGCTAATAATAATGAAGAATATGAAAATACGCCTATTACCCCACGTACTCCAGAGAAAAAACATCCATTTAAGTACATAGAGAATGTTGAAACGCCTTTTAAGCTAAAAATAAGTCGAAATGAAATCAAAAGCGAGATTAAAGAAAAAGATAACAAATTATTAAGCATATTTCAAGAGATAGATGGATTAGAGAAAGATGGTGAATGGTTTAGGAAGAAAAGGATAGGTAGGAAGAAGAAGCCTTTAAATTTAGCTTCATCTCAAGCAGTTAGTGTTATTAAAGATAAGATAGGGATTTGTTCAATTGAGTCTTATTTTCAGATACACTTTAGTATTAAAGAGACTTTGCATAGTAGTAATGAGTCTTTTGTTTATTGGGTGCGGGAAAAGAGGGCTATAGATGGTTTAGGAAGTGGACAGATGTGTAAGTATTGTCTAGAGAGGATGGGGTTGGTGTTGAGTGGAGTAGGTGGTGGTGATATGGGTGGTGGAGATGTATTAAGTGGAGATCTAAGTAGTATTGGAGATATTGTTATTGGAGATAGTAAAAATCAAAATCAAAATCAAAATCAAAATCAAAGTGGAGATAGTGAGGGAGATGGAGGTGGGGAGATGGAACGGGTGGTTAAGATATCTAGATTGCAATGGGCTACTTTGGAGGAACGGCGGGTGCGGATTAGAGAGGCTAAGTTTTTGTATCGGTTGCGTAAGTGCCGGAATATTACGCGGATTAGAAGGGCTTGGGAGGAGATGGGAATGCTTTATATTGAGATGGAGTGGTGTAATAATGGGACTTTGAAGGAGTTTTTGAAAAAGAATTCTTATCTATCTCAGAAAGTTTTGTTATCTTTGGCGGCTCAGATGATTAATGGGTTGAAAGCGATTAATCGGGCTAAGATTGTTCATTTAGATATTAAACCGGAGAATATTTATCTGCATAGAGATAAGAAAAGAAGGATTTTGGTTAAGATTGGGGATTTTAGTATTAGTCGGCCGATGGAGGATAGAACTGAGATAGAACATGATGGGGATAGGTTGTATATGGCTCCGGAGTTGTTGCAGAATTCGTGTTCGGCTGCTAGTGATGTTTATAGTTTAGGACTTATCTTTATTGAGATGTTTCTTTGTGTGGGGGTGCCTTTAAAAAGCATTCCTTGGACTAAGATATCGACTGCTCAGAAGAAAGAGATTATCTCTAAATCAAAAATATCTTTGGAATTGTATCGGTTAATCAAAAAAATGATTGATCCTAATCCGAGTCGAAGACCGACTATTCAGGAAGTTTATCTGCAAATGAAAGAAGTTCGTGTTTCTTGTTCGGCGCCACCTACTTGTAAAAAAGATCACACAGCCCTAGTTAGTCCGGGCTAGACATATTCTGCCTAATCTGCCACCTCTACTAGACCAGAAGTACTTGTTTTTATCTCTTATCTCTTATCTCTTATCTCTTATCTCTTATTTCTTATTTCAATTCTTATCTTCTATCTCATTCACAATACTTCTGTTTAATAAAGATACAAATTAATGTGAGTTAAGTATTGAGTTGGTGTTGGTGTTGAGTTAGATTTATGTAATAGCCTAAGCAATAAACAAAGCATGTAAATAGACAATCTAAAGATATTCTATACTAACTTAACTTAACTAATCCATAATCTATTAAAGACATACTAGCCCAATGTAGACAACGATATGACGTCATACTCAAATTTTAATAATACCAGTTACTATTGAGTTGGGATTTGAGTTAGTATTTGATATGGTTTGAATTATCTACCAACCTAATACGAATACGATCTTAACTTAATCAAATTGGGTTAGTAGACAATCTAACTTAATCAAATTGGGGTAGTAGACAATCTAAAGACATTCCATACACACCTAACTTAACTGAACTTAACTTAACTGAACTTAATCAAATATCCCCATAACATAACATAAACTTAACTTAACCAAATACTATCTTAAACTTAACTTAAACGCAACCTAATTTAATGATGAGTACGACTGCTATCAATGACCTCCTTGATTTCCTGGGCCGTATACATTTTGATACCTTCCCGAGTAATTGTGCATAAATCCATGTCCTCTTCTGTTAAGGCCGTTTCGGCATTCTCATTCAGGGCTAGAATAGCAATACTTACTGCATCATAAATCTCTGTTTCAGCATTGCAGCGATTAGCCAGAAACTGAGAAGACTCTTTATAGTACTTCCCAACTCCAGCTGAGAAGACACACTTGATCGAACCAGATGGATCTATCTGGTAGAGCAAAGGTTGCATCTTCTCCCTATCCAACTCCGTAATCACCACCCGACCTTCATCATCAGCCTCTATCTCCTTCCTAATCGGAGCAAACCCACCAAATAAACAAATACATCCTACCGGTCGTAATCCACCTTTTTGCGTCTTCTCTTGCACCACCTTAGAGAACTCCTTGATAAATGCATCTACATAAGGAAACCGGCCATAAATCTTGTAGTAATCAACTGCTATTTCTCTAGCCGTTTCCAGTACTAACCTAAAATCCCCACTTAATCCAGCAAATGTACCTATAATTGCATCACATACTTTAAACACTTTCTTAATCCGATTCTTATCAACTAGTAAAGATGGCGTTCTTTTTAAAGAAGCCAGTACTAAACCATTAGAAGCACGTATCCCAAGAGCTGGAGCACCTTTAGTAGCGGCAGTAAGTGCTCTTTCACATTGTGCTAAAGTTCCTTTGCTGCTAAATGTAGTAATAGAGTACTTAATTTCAGAGTTCATTGAAATTAGATTGCAAACTTTGAAATTTTATATGGAAGTAGCCAACCACAAGATAGTTAATGAATCTAATTCAGTATCTGAGTCCGGTTTAGATAAGGATTCTAAATTGGGAAAAGAAGAGAGGTCTCTTTGTAAGGAAGTTCTTTTGAAGTTGAAAAAGAGTACGCATGCGGCGCCCTTTCTCTTTCCTGTAGATCCACAGCGGCTTAACATTCCTGATTACTATGATAAGATAAAGAATCCGATGGACTTATCAACTATTAGTAAAAAGTTGGATAGTGAGACATACCAAAGTATTGCTGAGGTTAAAAAGGATGTAGAGTTAATGTTTTCTAATTGTTACCTCTATAATGCGCCTGATTCAGCTGTGTACAAGATGGGGGCTGGCTTAGAGAAGTACTTTAAGCAGTTGGTGCAACGTGGGATGTTAGATAAACGTAAAAGTGCTGAGGATAGTAGTGAGATGGGTTCTGAGCGAAAAAGGACGAAAGCTAGAAGTATGCCGCAGGAGGAGTATACTCGTTGTCAAGAGACTTTGGCTGAACTGTTTAAAGCTAAGAACCGTCGGATTAATTGGCCTTTCTTGGAACCGGTTGATGGTACGATTGTTCCTAATTATTATACTTTGATTAAACGGCCGATGGACTTATCTACGATGCGGAGTAAACTTACTACTAATAAGTATAATAGTGCTAATGAGTTTGCTGAGGACTTTGCCTTGATTATTTCTAATTGTTATACCTTCAATGCAGAAGGGTCTGAAGTGTATAATTGTGCGACTAAGTTGAATGCTTTGTTCAAGCAGGCCTTTGAACAGAAGAAGAAGGGGCCCGAGGATAGTTCAGCCCGAATTGCTGAGTTGAAAGGACTGATTGCGCAGTATGAGGCAGAATTACGGCGGTTGGAGAAGAAGAGTGGAGTAGTGGCGAGTGGGTTTGGGTATGATGAGAAGAAGCGGTTAAAAAGAAGGCTGGAATCTTTATCAACGGAAAAAGTGCGTGGGGTGGTTAACTATATCCAGAAGAACGTTCCTTCGGCGGTTATTACGGAAATGGATGAGTTAGAGATTAACTTGGATTTACTAGACCAAAGTACGCTGGTGGGGCTGAGTGATGTTGTCCGGGAGGCCTATGTAGAAGAGCAGCGCATTGAAAGTGATTCAAGCAGTGAATAAGTTATGGATTCAGTTGGGTTTGGTTTGTGTGTGGTATGTGTGTGGTATGTGAGTGGTGGGGGTTGAGTTTAGTTTAGTTGATTGTTATCTTATCTTGTTATTTGATCTTATTATCTTATCTTATTATTTTATCTTATTATCTTATCTGTTACTAATAAGGTTGTTATTTCAGCTTATCTAAATACCAACCCAATACTTACCTAAATACCAACTCAATACCTACCTAAACACCAACCTAACACCAACCCAATACTAACCTAACCCAATTTAAATCTAACTTATCTAAATCTAACTTATGATGCCTAAATACTACACTACCCCAATACTAACGCTATCTAATCTAAATAATAAAGCATAGACGGGTGTCATAATAATATCTTGTTTACAATAACATTAGTTCAGTTTCATCTCATCTCAACACCACCCTACTCATCCCAACACCACCCCATCTCATCCCAACACCACCCTAACTCAACCTAACTCAACTCAATTTGTCTATATAAGGGAAGATTGGGCGGGGCTTATTAGTTGATGGTTTTTCTGATGTATGCACTTAGTAGCACTTGTTTGGTACTGGGGATTGGCTTATGCTCAGTTGGGCTTGTTGGACCAGCTGCCGGTTAAACAAGTTTCCTTGACTGGCTTGAAAATACCGCAACCTAATCTGAAAGTAGGGACTAGGTCGGTGGCTGCACGGAACTTGGATAATCATCCGGATTTGGAAAGGACCTTTGCTCGGTTTAAGGAAATCTTGTTTGTGACTGTGCCGGGGTTGGGCCCGGAATTATCCTCATTGGTGAAGACTGCCCAGGAAACTAATCCTCTTACTCCCGTCCTTACTTATTTGCCCGATCTTTCTAAACTGTTGCGTAGGCCTAGTAAAGTGGAGAAATATGAGAAGGTCTTGGGGGTACCTGCAGTCATTAAACAGCGATTGCTGAGTACGGCTTATCCGGCCTGGTTTTCTGTCCAATCTGCTCAACCAGAGCCGGGTGATTTGAACTTGACTCTTAAAAACATGGTTTTGTTGCGCGGTCTTTGCTTACTATCTAATTATGTAATTGTTAATGATTACAAACAACAGGATCTCATTACGTCTTTCTTTGGTGTGCCGACGCGCAAGATCATTGTGGCTCAAGGTGAGCGTAAAGTTGGGCCCGAGGTGGTCTTAAATGAACTGGAGAACACAGGAAAGTTTAAAGTGCCTAATGGGCTTTATGTTCTATTCAGTTGTAGCACGATGCATATTAATGTGCAGGTGACCAAGCACGCTATCACTAAGATTTACTTGCGGTCGATTTATGAAAGACCCTTGCATGATCGCCTGGTCGTGAAACGAGGTGCGTACAACCGAATTATGGATGAGGTCTTTATTGAAATCTCTAAAAACCAAGTTCGGCTGGATACTGAGTTGCCTAACGTTATTAGATATAAGAACAAACAACTATCTTTATTTGCTATCGGTGTGACCGCGATTGTTAATATCAAAACAATGAAAATTAGCTTGGTCTTTATTAGTGAAACTCGTCATGGGGCGGGTTTAATAGTTCCTAGTTCTAGTTCATTGATTAAGTGGAGATTGGCGGCGGATGATAATCCGTTTGCTGTTAACCATCCTTTGCTCAAAGTATCTATTGATGGTAAGTCCGCCTTTCTTTACAATCGCCCCCGGCGTAATTTGGCTGAGCCTTTTGAGTTCCTAGCTAATCCAGTTCAGCGTAATCCTTTGTGCCGTGTTAATGTGGATGCAGATTTCACGCTCAGCGGGTTTGGTCTGGCTAGTAAACACTTTGTACGCAATATTCTTCCTGATCAGCGTTTCTTTGTTACTTGCCGGCCCGTTGAACCGGGGTGCCAAATCGATGAGAACTTTACTGCGCGTCTGATTCACTACTATCTTTTAGAAGTCCCGGCTCGTGATATCTTAGCCGTTGTGTCTCAGCCTAAGCTCTTCCAAACCAAAGGTATTGATTTACGTAATTCCTTCCCGATCAATCTGCAACCTACCCGGCTTGGCCACCGTCTGCTTATTCACTTCCCTTGGGAGTTCAGTATAATTCCTTCAATTTGGATTAACCCTCTTCTTCAGAAGAAGAAGTACACTATTGTGTCGCCTTCTATTTTCACTAAGCGCATTCATGCTAAGAACGGCATTCCTAAAGAAAGGATTCATGTGGTTCCCCACGGTGTTTCCTACTACACCATGCAAATAGAACAGAAGATCAGGCGAAGACAGCGCAAATACGGCATTGCCCAACTCTTCCATGCCCCTAAGCACTATACCCGTTTTGTTTGTATCAATGGAGCTATGGCCCGTAAAGGACTAGATTTAGTCGTTCGGGCCTTCACTAAAGCCTTTACGCATAAAGACAACGTTGTTTTGCGTCTCCACTGTGCTTATGGCGATCCTCCCATCTTTAATACTATCCACCGATTGCTTTGGGAAAACCAAAGGGCTAAAGGCCCGCTTATCATCTACACTCGCAACTATCTCTCTCAAGATACTATTCGCGCTATGCTTTCTGCCTCTCACTACAATGTGTCTCCCTACCGCGCCGAAGGATTTGGTCTTTCCATTCTAGAGGGTATTGCTCTGGGCTCCATCCCCATCACGACCAAGTGCCAGCCCGCTACGGAGTTCTGTTCCAGCCAGTGCACGTTCTTCATTCCGTCTAAGAAGACCCAAGGTCGCAGCTACCCAGTGATCACCCACCCTAATGGTCGAATTACTATGTTCGACTGTCCGATCAACAGCTATCCGCGCTGGAACTCTCCCGATCTTGATGCCCTTGTTCAGCTACTACGCGAAGCCCATCAACTCCGTCAAAAAGATCTTCCAGCCTACCAGAAAATGAGAGCTGAGTGCTTCAAGTGTGCCAAAGCCAAAACCTGGGCTCTTGAGCTCACTAAACTCAAGAAAGTCTTCTTCAAGCTTACTCGCCCCGCGCACACTCAATCCAAATCCTAACTTAACCCCCAAGCATTATCCTCTAACCAGCTAGGATACAGACCATCCAATCCAAAATACCACAACCCGCCACAGTCCTAGCTTCCTAAATAAGAATATATCCTCCGAATTACCATAAAAGGAAAACTATCCACCACCAACCTAAATAAATTCCTATTTACTTTACCAACGGCTACTCATTATATTATCTTCACCCACCAGATCAATATCCTACTGGTCATTCAATTCGGATCTACTAACTCAATAAATCTACTAACTCAATTCAAAATTCAATCTATTTATATTTATCTATTACATCTATCAAGTCAATTTTAACCCTACTTCACCCTACTCCACTCCATCTCACTCCACACCACACCACATCACCCCACTCCACATCACCCCACCCAATACTAACGCACTACTATATCATATCTAAATCATCCACTAAAAAGGGCATATTCTTGTCACCATCAATCTCTACGCCTATCTCTGCTACTCGTGGTCGCATTATCCAATAACACTTTCTCTTTAGCCTTTCTATAATAATGGCCAGTTCACCTCCCAAGTGATAGCCAATCAGAAATGAAGCCATTAAAACAACGTAAAGCACTAACCCGGCTACATTCACTGACCGTCGTCTCCAAATACTCTTCTCCTGGCTTTTTAAACATACATCCACTACACCACACCCACTGCTTACTCCTTCTACTCCACCATCCCCTGACTCACCACCTACAAACTCAGCATCTACTAGCCCACGCATTGATTGTATTACTAACAAACACGCATTTCCAAGAGTCTCTGATAAACAATGGACTAGAATAGACTGGTCTATAGATTTATTTACTTCACTCCTCTTGGCAGATGGGCAGATTCTCCTTCTCCATAACTCGGGCATCAATCTTCTCCTTAATATACTCCATCCGGCCTTTCAGTTCATATACTTTGTTTAGATCTATCTTTTCTTTACTGATAGCAGCCAGGACTTGCTTTAAGGCTTCTTTCTTCTCTTCATAATCACAATGATTAGTGCTGCTGTCTCTTACTTTAATATGAAGGCTTTTGAAATCATTACTACGCCACATCAGTACTCTTTTTATCATAGTGATACTTTCGTATCTCATTTCTTTGTTTTCAAAGAGCTCAACGAGTACATTTAGCAGGGGCACCACTAATTCACCACTCAAACCGGATATCATAGTTTTTTGTCTGGACTCGGACATATCTAGAAATTTGAATAAGAAATCACGATTCTTGCTAATAATAGCCTGTTCTAAGACAGAGTTATAGGAAGTAGGCGAGGGCATAGAATAAAAAAAGTTTACTCGGTTTTAAATCAGATTGTTTATGACGTAAATTACCCAAAAAGGAAATTTATAGATTAGGATAAGATTGAGTTAGTATTTGGATAGTGTGGAATGGGATGGGATGGGGTTGGTTTTATTTGAGTTTGGTTAGTTTAGTGTCTAGTTGTGTGTTTATCTAAGTATTTAGTTTGACATAGATTTTAACTGGTTTTTGCCATTGGGTTAGTGTGATAATAAATGGATGTCAATATGGCACAACCCAGTACTAACTCAACTCAATACTAACTCCACCTAATCTAAACTTAACTGATGTGATAGTTTAGATTCAAATCAAAGACATTTATTTTAAATACGGATACGGGGTTTATCTAGTGATGAATTAGTAGTTGGTTAGTATTGAATTAGTATTTGGTTAGTATTTGGTTAGTATTGAATTAGTATTTGGTTAGTATAGGGTTAATATTTGCTAGTACTTGGGTGTAGTGTGATGTGGGAGTGCTTATTCTGTTTGTAATTGATTTATTGGATTAAATAGCAGAACCAGGATAGATTGAACTGAGATAGGCTGGCTGATTTGGTTTGGCTTTGTGTTTTTAGGGCAGCAGGCCCGACTTAATGCTGGTTTATGTTCTACTTAGCGTTCTACGCGGGCTAGGAACAGCCCCAGGATGATTAATATTCAGGAAACTCCTCCGCACTTTCGTACATGTCCTTATCAGTATCGTCGTCCTTATGGAAAACTGCCCGGCGATGCCGGCTAGGTTTATCACGAACCTTTCCATGAATACGATAGTAGAGGCCACAGGCATTGCAAACCAAAAGGTCGCCAATTCGTCGCCAAAGACTGGTCTGAGTGGTTTTACAGAACCCGCACTCCCGTTGCGAACTAGCTGTCTGTCTCTCTCGTTTGGTTGGAATGGTCTGTAAATGGTAATTCACCAGAAACTTCTTTATCTGCATGCTAACATTGCTCCGTGCATTTTCTTTGTTGCGGGGCGACTCATTCTGGTACCTCATTTCAATCTTTCGCCTTATATGGCTTTGATTGGCATGAATGTCGCTATCTTTTTTACCCTCCATTTCAAAACCGAAATTAGCAAGATCTTGTATAAAAGAATACATATCAATTTTGGATTGCTTTTATTGGTAGATGGGAAAGTGATGGTTATTTAGGCGATAATTTATCCTTAAAGAGCCTCGAAGGACGCATAACACCGCCATGGGTTCTAGAATAGAGTCCACAGGCGTTGCAGACAATGGACAAATTGTATTTGCGCCAAAGTGGCGTATTGGTTGTGCCACACTGGGAACAGACAAAGACTTGGTTGCGGTCTTTCTTCCGGCGTTCGATCTTTTTGCTATTATTGGGCGTACAGTACCCTATCTCTTTACAGATAGAGGTGCACTTCCCTGCTCCTTTATTGTGCATATGCAGCACAATAGCTCGTGGTTCCCCAATACTCCAGCTGAAGAAGAGTTGGTGCACGCCAAGACAAATAGAAAGAAGCTCAGGCGTCCGAAAGGCCGGAGCGTTTTCTAAGAAAAAGGGGAAGGGGTGCTGTCGCGCCAGAGATTGGGCTGAAATTAAGTCGGAAGTTTCAGCCGACTTGTTATGTTCTTCCGCGTCAAGTGAAAAGTAGTGAGGATTAAGCATCTGCGCCGATTGGAGTTGGTCTTTAGTACCCGCCGCTTTATGCTTTGCTGGCATTTGGTGATTCTTATCTTTAGATTAAATCAGACTTTTTTGGAAATGTGAAAGTGTGTTGGCTCTTTTGCGATTGGCATATTCGTTCTTGGCCTGTCTCTTTTTGTTGTCCTTCTTAGTACTGCGCATTAAAGCAAACTGGTCAATAGTTGGGTCTGTCCCTTCCTTTACTTCAATAAGCCAATGAGTATCTAAGTCATTTTTACTGCCACGTCCAAAAGCCGGTGTGAATTCTCGTGTTGCTTCGTTATAAATACGGCCGCCTCGCTTGTTTTTGGTCTTACGAATGCCTTTACGTTCGGCAAAGATCTCCCATCTAGTCTTAGGAGCCTCGGCAGGTAGAACTCGAGCTCGGGGGAAGACTGTCTCTTTGGAATAATCAGCGGAATGTGGTAGAATTTCCAGTGGTAAAATGTATTGCGTGTTGTTATACAGATCATAACGAGTGGGTAGTTCTTGGAGTTTCTTAAAGAAACCTTTGGCTAGAGATTGAAAGTGGGCCATTGTATCTGGGCCTTCAAAGTCGCCAATCGCGATAAAATGCTTAGTACTATAAACTGTAGCTAAGACCATCTAAAAATGAAGAGATACAAAATTCTATTGCTATAAATGGTTTGAGTTGAGTTAGTATTGAGTTGGTATTGGATTGGGGTGGGTTAAGTATTGAGTTGGTATTGGTTTAAGTGTTTGGTTGGTATTTAGAGATAGTATTTAGATATAGTATTTGGAGATAGCAAATTGAGGTGGTGGTTCGGTGGGTTTTGGTGAAGATAAGATTGAGTGTTTTTGATTAAGTTAGAGATAGGATTTAGTATTGGATTGGCGGTTATTTAGCCGAGAAGTACTTCATAGACCATGAAGAGTGAGTTGGCGAAGATTAAGGGAATGATAAATACGGTTTTGACTGTTTTGATAAGGTCAGCAAGTTGTTGTAAGGCAGGATACTTGCTCTTTTTGCTGATACCAAGATTGTTTAAGAATCGCTCTTCATTAAGGATGCAGAAGGCATTGCCAAGAAGTACTAAGATATAAACAATAGTTAGAATTCCGAACATACACAAAAAAAGAGAATCTCGTAATAATTGGAATTTTCGGTTAGTATTGGTTTGGGTTGGGTTGGTTTGGGTTTGGGTTGGTATTGGATTGTGTATGGTCTTTGTAAAATGTAGATTTGGTGTGATATCTTAATCGTCAACTAGTCGTCAACTAGTCGTTAATCTAGCTACTAATATGCTTACTAATACTAATACTAAACTAAACTAATCCTAGCTCAAGTTAAGATAAGATAAGGTAAAGTAAAGTAAATGTATATATAGTCTATTTATAATTGGCGTGCATAAGGGGAGAAGGTGGTGGGATGGGGGAGAAACTGTATCTTTTGTGGTGGATCTCCTTGATTTTGAGCTTATCTTGGTAGAGCAGGGCGATTAGAGTGGGGGCTGCTAGAGTAAAGAAGAACTCAATAATAGCGGCAATGAGAGGGAGTGATGGACAGACAGAAAGATTACTAGTGAAGATATTAAGGGAAAGAGCAATTGCTCGTTCGATGAGATACTGGTTAGGAGAAAAGGTTAGTTGGTCTAAGTTTTTGATAAGATAAAGACAGAAGAGATAAGCAATTAGAAAGCCATTACTGACTTGAGCTACTCGGCTCAGCGCACTACAAGTAATTCCAGAAAGAATCCAAAGTCGACTGGCTATTCTCAAGGGCAGAACAGAAAAAGCCCCTAACCCAATCCCGATAACATAAAGAGCACCTACTGGTAGCTTAGCTAAAATCTGACTAGCCAAAGGCCCTAATAATAATAGGTAGAGGGCATAAAAAGGCACAATCTGGTGTTGTCGCTTTTTAAGAGAGTATCTTTCAGCAACAACCATGCTTATCATCAGCAAAAAGAAGATATACTCCGCTTGAGCAAACAAAGTCGGATAAACATTCTCTAAATACAAAAGAGTATTGATTGTGCTTAGCAGCAAAGATACCTTATTCGCAAAGATAAAGAGAGTTTTGATATCCTGCTGAGGGAACTTCATCTGTTTCAAGAACTTCATGCAAACAATACGCAAAAGAATCTCAGAGTAATTTATTAGGGCAAGATCATCTCAATCTACTTATCTGCTTCAATACAGCCAGCCCCAACTCCACTCCAATCCATTCCATCCAAACCAACCCATTTCCTAAGCTTAAGTTAGGTTGGTATTAGGTTGAGTTGATTTGGTATTGGGTTGAGTTGAGTTAGTATACATCCGATAATAGTGCAAGTTAAATAGTGAGTTAGTACTATTGGTGTGATATATTTGTTGTATGTCCATAGGCCATGCAGTCTCACATGAAAGTCTGAGTCAATAAGTTTATCCTCTAATAAAGACTTATTGATTCTCAAGACCAAATTATCTTGAAGATCAAAATGACGTCATAGCTAATTACTTACTAACCAATATCTACAGATAGAAGATGTAAACAATCATTTCCTTAAGCTTAAATAGAGAGTGTTTTGAATAAATTACGATAGTTTATAACCGATCTTATCAAGAAACAACTATATTACTAATTGAGTCGTAATCTAATGCCAATCTAATGCCAATCTAAATCTAAACACAATACAAACTAACTCAACATAATACAATCTAATACAAACATAACCTAAATCTAAACTCAACTCAACTCAATACAAACTAACTCAAACTAATACAAACTAACTCAACTCAATACAAACTAATACTAACACAACTTAAATCAAACTAATTTAATCTTCCTCTACGTTGAGAACATCCTCCATACTTTCTTGGCGGCCCTGGGTTATGCACTCGGCTAGAAAAACAAGAATGTTGATCTCAATCTCCTGAAGCTTTAACTGTGTAAAAACAATACTGGGGTCATCGTAGTAGTAGAAAGCTTTCTTGCAAATCCGAACTTCCTCTCTTCTTAGTGCATCTTCAATCCCTACTTCACTACTCACTACATTCCGATAAGTCTTATGCGTACTAAGTACACCTTTCAACTCATCAAGACTCTTACATCCCACCAGTAATTGCTTCTGCATTTCCGTAAAGGTCGTACATCGTGGAAACAAATCTATCTTATCCTTAGCCGTCATAGAAGACCCTAAAGTAGAATGAAGAATTTCAATGATACGTCGATCACCTTCAAATTGCACTAACTCAGCTAAACAAAGCTTATGCTCAATCGCAAACTCATAAAGAAGTTCTAAATATCGCTTGTGTAAAATACTAGTGATATGAGGAATATCTTGGGTCAAAATATCATGAGATAAACCAGCCACATACTTATGTAAGGAAGTATTCTCTAAACAAAACTTCCAAGTATCTTCAGGACCTTGAGTTACCTTAATGAAACTCAACCCATCATAATTACCTAAAGGATGTGTATTACTGGCATGTTCTAGACTTTTAGCACTCTCTTGCTTACAAGCCCATAAGTAGATAAAGTTAGCTAGTTGAAAGTGTTCTAAATAAAAGTCAATTAAAGATTTAGATACAGTAGTGGCATAAGCCGCGGTTGTTTTGATTTGATTCTTCAAACACTTATAGAGAAGGACTTTGAAAGATTTGGGAGTTGTTTGAGCTTCTTCTAATAATTCTTTACCATAGATAGTAGCTTGCATTTTAGCTTTTAATTCTTCAATGGTATTACAACTCTTGATGGCGCAATAATCTTCTAATTTCATCAGTCGATTCTTGTTGCCATGAACATAACTAATTATACCAGCTTCGTCATGCATAGGTGGAATACACAAATAAAATTTGGGTTGTTATGTACAAAGCTGAGTTTAGATTGCGTGGAGTGGGGTGGGGTGGAGTTGGTGTGGAGTGGAGTTGTGGAGTGAAGTGGAGTTGGTGTTGAGTTAGGAGGGGTTAGGAGGAGTGGAGTTGGTATTGGGTTGTGTGGAGTTAGTATTGGGCGTGTTGGTTGTGATTTTCCTTTTTTGGTAATTTATGATGGGATGTTTTGAAATAGATAGGGAGGGATTTAGAGAGAGATTGGTGGGAAGAAGAGGGTAGGAAGAATGTAGAGATGGTTGGAATGGTGTTAGGAAGTAGATTGGGCTGGTATTTATTTTGTTTGCTTTTTTTGGATATGCCGGGGATTACTGTGTCTAAGACTGAGTTTCTGAAGTGTTTGCAACGGCAATGGAATGATACTGAAGTGGATAATGTTCTTTTTGATTTTGGGTTGGAGTTAGATGAAATTGATGAGATAGAAGGTACTTATAAGATTGATGTGCCGGCTAATAGATACGATTTACTTTGTTTGCGCGGTTTGGTTAATGGAGTTGGGGCTTATATTGGTCAATCTAGTCAGAAAAGTCTAGAGATAAAAGAAGCTAAAGATTTAGTGGGTGGTGAACGGCCAGTTAGTAGACCTTTTGTGAAGATGGTTATGTTGAAGAATATTGATTTACGTAATGGCGGTTATCAAGATTTAATTGATTTTCAGGATAAATTGCATCAAGGTCTTGGTCAGAACCGGGTTTTAATGGCTATTGGTACTCATGATTTAGATAAGACAGTTGGGCCTTTTAAGTATACGGCCTGGCCCGAATCAGAAGTTAAGTTTGTTCCACTTAACCAGACAAAGGAGTATACACGGCCGGAACTAGACGACCTCTACAAGTCAGATCCTAAACTCAAGGCTTACTTAGGCTTAGCCCGTGAGAATGGCCAAGTTCCTGTGATTCTTGATGGCCAGGATAGGATTCTTTCTTTGCCTCCTTTGATCAATAGTGACTTTTCTAAGATATCTGAGCAGACGACTAATATGCTCATTGAAATAACAGGAACTGATAAGCCAAGAGTATGTACGGCCATGTACTTGCTTTTACATCACTTTTCTGGACCGGGGTCTGAGATAGTAGAGATTCCTGGGGGAGTGGAAGAAGTACTACGGACACCGCTTACTCTAACCCAGTCAGAAATTAAGACTGAGTTGCATACTGAACTGTCGGCTGAAGTGGCTGCTAAAGCTTTGCGCCAAATGCTTCATCAGGTGGAGATTGTTCCTGGAGAATCGGAATGGTCCTTGGTGGTTACACCATCTCGTTTACGCCCGGATATATTACATACCTGTGACTTGATAGAAGATATTGCTATTGCCTACGGCTACAACCGGATTGAACGGGTCTTATCCACTGAGTACACGATTGGGAAAGAGTTGCCTATTAATAAACTGGCCCGGTCTTTGCGCCAGGAGTGTGCTTACGCTGGCTTTACTGAAGTCTTTACTATGGCTTTGCATTCTAAGCACGATATGCATGGCTTTGGTCTTGACAAACACATTCAAGTAAAGAATCCGAAAAGCACTGAGTGCGAAGTGCTGCGGCAAAGTTTAGCCCCTTCTGTGCTTAAGTGTATCTTCTCTAACCAGCACCATCATTTGCCTATTTGTCTCTTTGAAGTATCTGATGTGGGTCTTTTTACTGCTGATGATGTGGGTGTTCGTAATGATAAGAGAATGTGCATGGCTAGTGCTGGTTCATCTAGTCGTTTGGAAGACTTACAGGAAGCTTTTGAAGTAGTGATGCGACGAATGGGTTTTGTTGTCCAGTACGTTCCAGAAGACCTTCCCCAGTTTATTGAAGGTAGATCTTGTGCAATCTATTTTAATGGCCAAAATATTGGTGGGCTGGGTATAATCAAGCCGGCTATTAGTTTGCATCATAAAATCCCGCATGTTTGTTCTCTCGTAGAAATCTCTCTTACGATGCTTTCTTCATTAATACCTGCCACTTATCCCAACTAGTCTAAACAACAATAAATTGGAGCAACCAGCTAATCTCAATGGTAGTGATAGTTGTGGTGTCCTCGCCGGCCTCCACTTCAAAGTGAGTTATTTATAGGAGTGTAGTGCTGCAATGTTTATCGGCTTGGCACTGATCGCAGCGAACGCGATTAAATCTTGAATTAGAAATCACAATCTCAGATTAGCATTTATATTATGAGTTTGCAGACTATCTCAAGATGACGTACGATAAAGAGAACCTAAGCTATACCAACTCAATACCAATTCGTCCTCTTCAAAATCGGTTGTTAGTCGAATATGTATGGTTGAAAAGTACTATCCCTTCCCCGGGGCACGACACTAATCTATATTTTGACTTTATGCTATCGCCACGTCCCCAACTATACTTATCTAATAAAAGGTCCCGCTCGCCTCAAGACAGGTCGTTAATAGAGCATACGTTGGCTAAAGAGCCATATTCATCCCATGAACCTTGTGCTGTGTATGAATGGATGCATGTTATGCCCTACACTCGCAACCCCTGGACTGAACTAGGCCGAAAGAAACCTGGGTTTTTGGTCTTTACTATCCTTGTTTGTGTGGGAGTATTAAGCCAGCTTATCAATGCCAGCCAAAAACAAAGTGGCAAGCCCCGAAAACGAGGCATGAAGCGTACTCATGAAAGTGCCAATTTACCTATGGCCAATCCCAGCCCCAGCACTTCTAACTGTGTTGATAATAAGGATACACAGCCTCACAACTTCGTCATACCTCTGCTAGATCGCAAACAATTAATTGACACCCTGCGCCGCTGTTGGTTTGATACTTCGCAGACTGACTCAAGCCGGACACTATATAAAATCAAAAACACTATGGATTCGCCCTTTTATATCATCCCGACCCACGAACAAATAGAAGGATATGTGACACCATTCGGCATCATAACGTTTTCTTTCTCTCGCTACACTCTAACCATTAACCAGTCCGATTGCCCGCCGGTTATTGGGTGTAAAATTGATATAAAGAGGACCAACACCGCGCCGCATGCAATTTCGTCGATTGATACTACCTTAGAGGCACTCTTTGCGGCAAACCCAAATGCCGGCAACTTTCCAGTGATCCTCGAGTGGTTAGTGTATAACGATAAGGCCAATCTTACACCTAGTGCTCTTCTGAAGTATGGAATGTGTGGTCTAGCATTCACTAGTGCAACATTTCTCATTGTTAATCCGCCGGGCTCATTTACAGCGCTTCCTTCCTACCTGGTGAAGAATCCTCGTACTAACACTCGAGAATCACCCACTGCCTACTTGAAGTTTATAAATAACCACAAGCACCGCTTTTTTAGCATCACTATCTTGATACATAGTATTATGGTTCAGTGCTCGGTCCCGCACCATCAGGTTTTAAATGCTGAACAAGGGCACACAATCCCCGAACCTAAAGAGCATGGCTCAAACAGATGCTCAAACTATACTGGGCATCTGTATTGCTTCTTCCATTCCAATCTGCGGTTCTTTGGTGTCGTATGTTTCGATAAGAACGTGACTATAAGTCTGTGCCATGTTATTCCTGAGTCTTGCTTTCAAAATAAGCTTGACCTGCCTCGGGTGTTGGAGAAGCTCATTATTTATATGCCATACAGTATCAATAGTTTACTAACGAAGCTTGTAAGTTTTCCTGTTAAATCCATTATTATCTGCCATCCGAGCTTCTTGGATTTTCTGGTTGCCATGCAAATAGTTATGCCCATCACTAATGAAATGACCACCGCACTGATCTATCTCTCAAAAGGCTGCATTAATATCACTTACAAATCTAACGCCATAACCAAGATTCACGCAGATACATTTGAGCAGCCCACCGACCTAGAATCCACCGCCCGTGCATTTAAATGGCTTCAGTCGCACGCAATCACCTTAAAACAACTAATGAGACATGACATAATCACTCCAATCCCAGAGGTTAGCTTAAATAATCAGGAAATTCCAGACAATTGGGCTTAACCTCTACTCTATAAAACCTCGGCAACAATAACCCCATTAGACTATGGTGACATTGTTTCTCTAATCCGCATACATTTCAATATCAATACTAACTGTGGTGTCCTCGCCGGCCTCCACTTCAAAGTGAGTTATCTACAGGAGTGTAGTGCTGTGATGTTTATCGGCTTGGCACTGATCGCAGCGAACGCGATTAAATCTTGAATTAGAAATCACAATCCCAGGATATAAATATAATCTGAGTTTGTGAGAGAGCGAATTCTAGATCTCACGATGACGTACGATAAAGAGAACCTAAGCTATAGTAACATATCTGAGACTTCCGAAAAAGCAGAGTTGAATAAATTCTCCCATCGTCCTCTTCAAAATCGGTCTTTAATCGAATGTGTTTGGTTGAAAGGTACTATCCTTTCCCCGGGGCACGACAATAGTGTATGTTAGTTTTAGTTATGCCCCAGGGGAGGATAAAGGCCTCTCGATCAAACGTACTCCACGAGAGATAAATTTGGTTGGTATTGTGTTAGTATTGAGTTGGTGTACAAGTATGGGCGGGTTCTAGATCGGATATAGTTCTCTGTAAGCTTTTCATGTTGCCATGGGATGTCTTGGAATGTCCTAGAAAATCTCTTATCAATCTTCGTCGTATACTTATACTCTAATTGAGTTGGATTGGTTTGGATTGAGTTAGTATTGGGTTGTTTAAAGTAGTAAGGCATAAATATCTACATTATCTGTACTTACTCGTTTAAAAGTAGAGATGATTTGAGAATCTCATTAAGATGCGTGGACGGTACAGACACTACAGTTATAATGTTGGTTTAATTAAAGACTGCGATTAGTTGGTCCAATGAGCGATGTTTTATTGTTGTGTATCATTAAATGGTGTCAACTTTGGATTAGTATTGTGTTGGGTTTGGTTGGGTTGGGTTGGTTTGGTTTGGTTTGGAGTAATGTCCATGAATATATGTGAACCATTGATTAATACCAACCCAATACCAACCCAATGAAACCTGTGCCAATACCTCTTATTGGATAAAATCTGGTTGTGAGCGAGAGAATGAAATCATATCAAAAGTAGATAAGATGTGCAAAATAAAATAGCTAAACCATCCTGATTCTACTAAATCATGAGGGCTCGTAATATCAATAGATGTTTGCCATTCAAATGGCTTTATCTATTATCAAGATGCTTGTTTGAAAGAAGAGTAGTGGTCGTATAACAACACTACATTTAGATAGAAACAGGTGCAGAACCCAACAGTTGGTTGTGTTTTGCGGATAAATGAGTCTTCTAGTTTTCCAATCTGTTTTCTAATCTGTTTTTATTAAGGTTATATTTTCAACTTTCTTAAACACCTTTATCTTATCAAATTGTTTGTTAAATAGCCTTGTGATGGCTATATAGTCAAAGGTATTTGCAAAATCTATGACATTATCTCTGCGCA